TTCTCTCCGTCCCATATCTTGCTTCAAATGGGATGTATAGCTTTGCTCTGTTCATGTTTTAAGTAGTTCAGTTGCTTTGCCATCCAGTAAAACACACATTTCATGTGAAGAGACTGCGATCATTGAGTGATTAATCTCCAGACATTCCTTTTAAATAGTGAACAGTTTTTAGACACGGCGGTCTATACAGCAACAACAAAAAAAATGAATGGTGGTGACTGGCAGGAAGCCTAAGGCCATGTCTGAAACGGGCTTCCAGAACTTATGGCTAGGTCTGTTGTCTACGTGTCAGCATATTTCCAGTGCAGTGAAGACCTAGCCCTAGCTCTAGACTACAGATTCGAATGCAGCCTCAGCTTGCACGACTTGGGCATGTCCCCAGGGTATATTGCTTGTTTGATCTTGATCAATACATGTCCGTATTTTGAACTTGCTTTTAGGGGCTCTGTCTACATGTTGACACACTGGCCGTGCCCACATTTATACCATAGACATTACATGCTTCACAGATGTGGCTCTGTTCAAACTCGAGAAATTTTCTCCATTGTCAAATTCACAGTCACATGTAATCGAGATAGTACTGATGTTTGTAGGGTCTGATAATGGACTTTCGCATTCCATCGTGTAATATTTGTATAGTGTCGAGTACATTGTACCTGTCCTTGTGTAACGCTTACCGTAGTACTAGGCTTGGAAGTGAACTCGTTAATTCCTAAGATCTGTCAACAACTTGTCTTTGTGTGCACTAATTGTTGTACTAGGCACTTCATCAGTGTACTCGCTAATTACTGAGATCTTTCAGTACAGTTAATGTAGTAGATACTTTACGAAAGCTTAAATTTTACTGAATAAAATTCCAAATATTTTGTCTTGATGAATATCAGTACTGTAAACCCAGTCCAACATTATGCACTGGCAAATGCTCAAGACAGAGAATCTGCATTTCCTAAACATTGAGGTTTCTGCTCAACGCAATTGATACACAGATTTTTGAGGTCTTGCCCGCTCATCAAGGCTTTTGCAAAGTACTCCGTTTGACGCCTGTACCAAAGTACATGTAAGAGCAGATCTTTGGGATTGTATTAACTTGGTACCACAAACATTGGAAATCATGCATGCGTGTATATTTGCTGAGAATTGGATAAACACACAGCTAGTTTGTAGGCATTACAGTAAATGTATTGGGAAAACCTTGTTGTACATTTGAGCTTGTTATTAAATGACCGAAAGCTTTAGCAAATTAGTTTTGTGGTCACAGTATCATATAGATCATTACAGTTGATGTTCATAGTACTATTGCATAAAGTAAATTAATTCCAACATGGCCAAATTGTTCATATGAGTTCAATGCTTATGTTTACTGGCTTCGTGCAAGTACACGTCAATTTTGTCAACTGTATGCAATTTCTTGTCTTGTTCACAATTGAACAGTCATATTTCAGCTTGGCAAATTCCTGCTCCTTCTGTATTAAAAAAAAGTCAGGAAAACAAAACGTATATTTTGAATTTAAAAGTGTCAGGTTGCGTACAAGGGGTCTTGAAAAATATTTTTATTATTCAACTTTATTTTGTTAACAAATGGATCTTTCTAGTTTTACTAGGTACTGGAGAATTGTCCTCTCTAATGGCGGTACTGCATGAATAAACTAACCATTTACATAAAATGCTGATCTATTTTGTCTTCTGGATGTTGAAATACTGTCTGTATATAAGGCTGAATTGTTACCACAGTCCGACAAGTTATTAAAGAACACAGGGGTGATGTTTCTCAGCTTTTGAGCGGATTTCAGCTTTGTTTCCTCACTGGCTGTGTACAAAAGCATGGGAGATTTTCACAGTTGAGCTTCTTTATGCCTTTTTTCATCTGTTGTTATCATTGGTCAATCTCGCCCCTGAGAATATCAAAAGAGATGGGTTAAATGTTCATGCCCTCAAGGCCAATGTTTGGGTGTTCAGCCCCAAATTCTTTTCCGTTCAAGCTCCGTTGCTGCATACGAGCACACGTGTCACATAGACTACCCCAATTTTTTTGGGGGGGGGGATTTTGAAACATAGAGGGCGCTGAGCATCAGTAAAGGTCCCCAGATGCCAATCCTTGACAACCAGTTTCTGTTTCTATTCTGTAAATCTCATAACAACCATTTGACAAGAAAAAATCTGCTTTCATTTCTGTTCCTTTTTCACTGATAAACACTTCAGATATTCTGATACTGTTTTTTTTAATCTCATCGGCATCATATCCACACCGATCAAGGTCCATGTCATTAGCACATGCCTGGATTCTCACAGTAGGCCAATTTCATATAGTCATCAAACAAAAGTAGTACTGACTTAAAAGCTGCACTGTAGTTACACAGTACAATGTACATGGACTCTGTATAAAATAAGGGGCGAGGTACCAAACCAAATTCACTAATATTCAAATCTAAAGTATTTCTGTTGCAAGAGAGTACTTGCACTTTTATTTTTCTAATGTTTCATTCTGATATCCAATTCAGTCTACATTAAATAATTATGTACACCGTACCGCTCCACCGGTTATATATCAATTAGTATCAATTCAGGATAAGTCATCAATTTCTGTTTACACAGTGAGTTTGAGCACCGGCAACTCTCTTCTTGCCAAAATGTAGGACAGTGCCTTACATGCGGTGCTATATCGCTAAGGCAAAAGCCCAAAGTTAAAAATCCTTGATTTGATCCTTGATAAATGTACATAGGTCCTCATATTCATTCACATGTCTTGTGAAAATCTTCATACCACTTTTGTACTGAAGGATACCACTCTACCTTCCACCCAACACAAAATGAAATACAAAATGGAAGATGGGTGAAGGTTTTCTGACAGTCTCTTGGCAAGGCTTAATAAGTGTACTCAACGTGCATTTGAAAGATGAAGAGATGGACACAATGTTAGACGGTACAAGCAGGTGTTTCATTTGAGCCCTAAGTTAATCCCATACGAGAGGTGATACAAACTGGACAAGGTATTACAGGTTTGGGGGCTAGTTTTGCTAAAACAACATTCAGTTTAAAATTTGTTTTAAATACTCATTATGCATTTGAACATCATTACATTTGAAGTATCATTTGATTTCTTTCTCTAGAAGTTATTAATAATCTGATTCAAATTCACATAGTCTTTTCATTCAATCAAATTGGTTTGAAGCAAACAACTTCAATACTTCTTTGCAAACTCACTTTTTTGTCATATCATGCTTCCTGAATCTTTTTTGCAATTATCAAAGTGGATTTTCTGGAGAAGAAAAACAGAAAAAAAAAATACCCAAGGGGAACAAAAGCAAACTTACATTTAGATGTAAGCCGTTTTTGGCATATGCTTTGTGATTAGTATTTGCATTGTACACTTCCAGGAAAGGAAAACAAAATAATGTGAATACATGCACAGAGGAACTTTTTTCAAAGATAGTCATGGTTTTTATAACTATTTTTGTTGAGTTTTCGTTTGGAATGGTCAGATTTACAAACATGAGTAAAGAACACTGGATATATATACAATGAGAAGAAAAACATCCTACACCGAGTCCAACTGAATTCCAGACAGCCTTACACTGACAAAACAGTGCCATGACAAAAGGGGTTTTAACAGTTAGCAAGTAGGTTTATAATCAACCCTATCCCTCTAGGAATACTTTCATGGTGAATGAAAGATACGCAACACCTGTTGAAACAAGCCGTGTATCCCATCTAAATTGAACAATGAAAAAAATGAAAACACTTCAAAGATTAAAATCCTGTGCACTTTGACCCATCTTCATTTGATTGCATTCAATCATAGAAGCTAGGAACTATAGAAATCCGAGATTGGTGAAAGTGGAGACGTGAATGCCCAGAAGTTGAAAAAGAGTGACTGAAACCATGCTCGTTTTCACCACACAATGAATGTGATAATTGAGAAAAATATACCCCACTATGAACGAAACTAAAAAATAAGCATGCATTTGAACACATGTTGATGAAAGTGAAGAGGCTCTCTTGCTGAAATTGGTTTACCTGTGTTTAGATAAATGTGTACTACATAAAATGTCATGTGAACATAAATTTTACATGCTTGAATCAATTTGGATTTCAAACAAGGACCAAATGTGAAATACCTTTTCGAGAATAAACATTACATGGATTGGATTTAATTTGGCTTCAAATGCATGTACTTACAGAAAGGTACAATTCTACCATAGTCAACGAAAGCAAGTCTTAAAATTTTGAAATAGTTGCGTCTTATGTTTCTATTAAATTTGGCATGAGCTACATCAAAGCCTGTTGCTTCTCTGCATACGATCAAGTCTTTGTGTTAACACTTTCAAAAAAGAAACATTTCCAGTGGATTTAACCTTCACAATTGTTGGTTGCTGTGAGGTAGGAGGCTGAGCATTTCAACTAGGGCGACAAATGACGCTAAAGGTGAAACCAAGGCTTCTACGTGTACATGCCCTCAAGATGGTACACACTTAAGTCTGAATGTAATGCAACAAAATAGACAAGACATGTTGCTGGTCAGTCCTGAAAAGATACAAGAACAACTGCTGTGCTCAGAGGTGAATCCAGGGTGTTTTTTAAATAAGGGGGTTGTCTCAAGTGTCAAGTAATGCCTCAATTACAAAAGCCAAGCTCATACTTCAGAATAGCAGTTTTTATTTTAATTTTATTTTAAATCTGCAACAATAATTAATAATTTCAATCAGACAGAAACGGAGGTGATTACATTTTCCTCAGGCTACCCCCGTTACAGAAATCCTCCCTTGTTAACTGCTCGCATACATGCAAATCTGCCTTCTATTTCGTATCCTGCATAAACAGTTTTGATTAGAAATTGATCTTTCCGCAAGTGTCTTTCTCCAGCTGTTGCCAATCCTACCATCAATCAATCAAATCTATATGTTCATTTGCACTTGGAACGTGTCGGGTGGATGTCAGGTGAAGGTATAGGTTGGGAGGAGGTAGGGTGTAAGGGTGGAAATTGGTTGCATGGTTGGAACGTGGAAGTGGGGTGCAAATGGGATACGCGTTGAGTGAGTGGGGTGGACGGAGTGGGTGGAAGTCAGTTGCATGGGTAGAGCTGGGGTGCAAGTTGCGGGTGCTGGTTAGATGGTTGGAGGTTGGTTGGGTGGAGGCAAACCAACCTTTTTGATTATGTCACAGTGTTATAGGTCTGAACTTATAACAGTCCCCATCAATCCTCCAATTTCACAAGCTTTCATACATGCTAGGGTGTTGGGGACGTTCTTAACAGATATAAATTTGCTAAATTTGGTCACTGCCTGTACGTACATTTGTCAAGAAAATATAGAGCAAAAATTTACAATCCCACAAAAAAGTTGTAACTAGAACTACACAGGAAAGTGTACATATACCATCTTGATGAACTTCAAGCGTACTGGAAGCAAAGTTCCATCACGCTGGAGTTAATGTCAGCTGTTCTTAATAACACTTTCCCTTGTAACTAGCTCAACAGCAAGATTGCAGGTTATTGCTCCAGGTCTGTGTCTGTGCTGGTCACTGTGCAACAACAGCAGCATCTTCCTGATATTGGAGCGCAATTGTGTGACAACACCTGCATCAATAACCTGTTGAATGAATAGAAGACACAAACACCATGGGTTCATCACGGATTCCTTGAAAACTGATTAATTTGATGAAATTACTGCAGGCCCACTGCTCGACATTTTAAGCCCATCTCTGCTTTGTTTGGAAGGGGGGGATGGTACTATAACAAGTTTTTGCGGAGGTACGTCACATGTCACACCCCAAGCCCAGAACTATCATCTCCGATTGAAAATCGATCTTCTTGGAGGAAAACTACTGGCTATAAGTGCTACACTCCCCCACTGAAACAAATTGAGGGTGCTGGTTTGGCACGGAGGAGTAGATTGGCATGAAATTGTGAAATTATAGCATTTCCTATCACACAGGGAGGTATAGGCAGCTATTACGGCATGATCATTCTCTAACTCTGCAATAGGAATCAAACAATACCAAGGCTATGCTGATATGTTGACAATGTGTCTCTTTCTTAGAACAAAAGATGAAAAGCACAAGATGACTGACCCCACTTTCAAATTTCACTTTTCCCCATCAAGATATTCACAACCCCACCCTTAATCAGAATGCCTGTTTGGAGCTCAGACAACACAATTAAATATACACTGGTTTTTGCACAAATTCTGGAGTACATCATGCGTTTCAAGGCACTTGTCAGACTCCCAACTAAAATAGCTTGACAATTAACTGCGAGAAGCAGTGCTCTTCAGCTCTCTCTAGTTTCTCTCTTTTTGCTACTGTCACAAATACCAACAGTGTGTGGGCTCTGTATCTGCCTGGAACCAGTGCTTCAGATGATAACGGGCACTTAAAATGCTCAAAACTGTGACGGCCTTCAGACACTGTTTGTGTGTCCTGTGCATATACCGTGCGTGTGTCTACATTTCATGATCATCATAAATCTGTTATGCACCATATTCCAGTGCCATTGCAATGCAGTATCTCAAGTGATTAGACTTGACGAATTCATTTGTCATGCAGAATCCTGTTAGCCTGTTTCCAATATCTATAGATACATGTACATCTGCATGGAAAGTCTAAATAATGACAATAGGTCAGCCTGTTTGGCCTGCTAGCCAAAGGTAGGGTTAAAAATGACAAGATCGCTCTGTCGCGAAAACAATCTCTATTTAATTGAATTCGGAGCCTGAGGTTTAAAGAAACTGATACATGCATCCATGTTCTGTTTGGTCTTGTCCCAGTCTCAGGAGAGTGACAAAGCAAACATTTTACAAAGTCTGTTGACACAACAAGCTTTTGGCTAGAATATTGGTCAGTTTTAAACCGTAAATCAGTAAGATGGAACACTGTATACAGTATCTGCCCCATTAGTTAATTATCCACAGTCAGTCATTCATTCAGTCATTCATTCAGCCATTCATTCAGT